AACTATCTTTGACGTTAAATATGGAAGTAGAAACTCAATTACCATTGACCAATCCAGTTAACTGTGTACAAGTTAACAACGTTCTTGATCTAAGTAAAAATTATTCGTTTCATATATCTAATTAATTATTTGAAAAGAGTGACAAAGTTAATTGTTGCAATTAAATATTGCAATATTTGTAATATCTTTTTTTGTAATATCTTTTGTAATATCTTTTTATTTGTAATATCTTTTGAAATATCTTTTTTATCATTGCTTGTGATTAAGTAAAATTAAATAAACATAAGATTTGTTACTTATAACTTTATTTACAGATAATAGTGATTTGATTGCATGTACTGTTGTATGGAAAGATGGCCAAAAAATTCGGCGTTTCTTAGTTATCGATGTTGTACAATTAATTCTTGTGGAACCTGATATTAGCAAGCTTGGATGGGGTGTTGCAAAGTTAGTTGGTTTTTTACAAGACATTGATGTGGCCGGTGACAAAGATGATTCAAGATGTCTATATCTGACAATTTACAAACCATTAAGTAGCAGCACAGGCAATCGTATACCGTTACTATCGGCTAAATTTATTTTTGATGATCATATTCGATGTATGGCAGCCAAACAAAGGTTAGTTTCATAATATATTTCAAGAAAAGTCTTATAATTAATTGTTTTAATTAACTAAATTGAGTTTGGTTAAATGATCTAGACTGACAAAGGGACGAATAAAAGCAAGACAAAAGAAAATGAATCAGATTGCAAGATTGCTAGATATACCAACAAGTATGCCTCATTGTTCAACTCCACCTAATTATGCCTTGCGTAGTTTACGATATGAACGTAAGTTTAAAGTTGGAGTTAGTTAACAGAATTTTTGCTAATGATTAATTTAAATTTTTTAGGTGTTGGACGTAGTCAGAGACCCCAAAGGGATCAGACAAGGCCAATGTTTATGGTGAATAAAGTTCCTGGATTTGCTGCTCAAATGCGTAGGGAAAATATTAGGCCAATAGCATCGTCGAGTTCCAAACGTGACGATGTCAATTCGAACGAGAGAGGTCATGAAAATGGTTTGCGATCTAGAGACAGTTCGCCTAAAATGCCAAGACCACGAAGTGAGGAGATTCCTTTAGAGGACATATGTATTAGAAAAGCCTCTCTTACATCCAATGGATTAAATGTACCGATGTGCTCAGAAAGGAGGGATAGTCAAGATACTATTTCAAATAACACCGAGTCTTTATCTGTAATTAGAAAACATTCTGAAGAAACATCTTTTACGTCTCCACAAGAGCAAGAACCAAAGCCACGTAGGAAAGGTCAAGTGGAAACTGTGTGATTGCAATAATTAATTTGGCAAATTAATAATTCAAATTAAATGTATCTTTTACAAATTTTTAAAGATTGAATGAAAATGTGTATGTAATACTTTTAAGTAAACGAAGAAAATCTGTTTAACTAATTTAATAATTTAATAAAATCTTCTTAGTATAAACATTTTATTTTATAATTAGTAAACTTTAATTTTTATATTTTTGTCAAATATGTGATGGTAATAACAAATGTTAGATAAATTTACTTCAATGAAAATTTTTATTACTAACAAAAAAAATGTAGAAAGGGAAAAGTGGAAGATATTAAATGACATTATTAAATCATTGTAAACTTTTCTTTGTCTTGAAAATCACTGAGGATTCTTATTGATAAATATATCATATTTTAATTTATATAAAGGACAATGGGTAAAATAAATAATTTCATCTAAAAAATATAGTGTATACTATACATGTTATCTTATGTCTCAAATTTCTGAATAAAAGCAATAATTTTATTTATGTAAAATCATGGAAAAATTATTAAAATTTGTCTTATAAAAGAGAAGGCGGGAAGAGAGAAGGATTAAAATAAATTGTTTTAAATATGAGTAATGATAATCTTGTTTTAATTTATGTCATAATACACCATATGTTAAAGAGGTAATTATACAGTTTATACCTCTCACCCCAAATATGGATGAAATTATGATGCTCGTTCGATGCGTTTTTGCACAAAACAAAAAAATCTGGCAAAAATAAATCGCTCTGCTTCGCCAAGCAAAATATCAATTGATGAAGTTTTTTTGGGGGGAAGGGGTTGCTCCCGGTTGGAAGCTAAAGTAGTGCCTTCAACTTCGCAGGGGATTTAGCACAGGTCCTCTATCTTCCTTGTGTGTTCTTCTTCGTAATCTACTACTGAGGGTTAAAAAATCTGTTATATAAAAAAAAATGTAGCATATATGCATGCTCTGTGACCACATGTGCATGATCGAAATGCATATGAAATATGAAAGCAAAAAACACAAGAAAAACATCTCAGAAGCAGGGAGGGATGGAGAGATAATTTTCTTATATTAATGTAATATAATACATAATAATTAAATTGTATTAGAAATTGTATCTATTTTATTTTATTTTATATATTAGAGTACATCCCCAGGATACATATATGCATAGATATATAAACAATTTTTTTAAGGAACAACATAGCAAGAAAATTTTGGTATCATAAATTGTAATATATAAATGAGAGAAAATTAATCTATAGTAGATTCACATCTTTCTTATCCTACTAATGTAATGTTCCTTTAAATATATATTCATAATTTATTCTAAGATATTTTCTAAAATATTTTAGTATTATAAGTCAATAATTAATAAATGTAAAATTATAACTTTATTGCCAGAGGCAAAATTTCATTTTGATAAAATACGCAACTATATCTTAATAATATAATGCTTTAATTTAGAAAAAAAAGACATTTTTTTATTTTAAATATATCAAATAATACTATGTATTCAATCAAAAGAGATAAGCTCTGCTGTTCTAGGTTTTGCATTTTCTTCATCTTGCGAAATTTCTGTGGTTGTAGTTGAGATTGGAGGAACAGGTTGAAACTGCATTGATTGTACAGGTGGAACTTGAGTCATTCCTTGCATTGTTTGAGAACCAGGCAAAGTTCGATTTGTTGCAGGAATAGATTCACTGCCAGTTCCGGCAGGCACTTGAATAACACCCGAAGGTTGAGACGAAATAACAGCATTAGAAACATGCGCTGGCATTGAAGATCCTTGGGTACCAGGTAATGCGGATGTTTGTTGTGATCCTATTTGCGGTGGTATACCAACGACAGTGCTATTAGATATGTGGCTACCCGAAGTTACTGGGCCTGATGAAGGACCCATGTGTCCTTGAGGTATTGGAGATAATCCAATCTGAGTTGGAGGAGGAGCTTGCTGTGGGATTTGAGATGAAGCACATTGTTGAGGTGGTATATGAGGTCGGCCTGCTGAAGTTTGCCCTTGTGACACAAGTACCGTAGAACCTTGTTGAGGGCCTATCTGATGATTACCCGGTGGTTGAAGCTGTTGAATAGGTGGTGTCATTTGAGGTGGCATCTGGAAAAATATTTATAAATACTTAAATTTTTTCCAATAGGAAAATCGGTAAATATACAGAAATTAGTAGGCTTACTATTCCTGGGCCTGATACAGTCACATGACCAATATTTTCTTGCCCTTGAATGGATGGATCTGATGATTGTTCCGGATTAGAAAGCGATGGCATCATGTGTACCGGCAGAGTATTCATTGACGGCATATTATAACCCTGCATAGGATATTGATTCATGGTTGGTTGACCATACATATAGACTCCTTGATTTGTAGGTGACATAGGATTGTAATTAGCTCCAGGAGTTGGATAATGAACATGACGGACAGGTGATCCTTGGGAATGTCCCATAAAATCTGAAACTGCTTGATAACCGCCTAGAAAAATAAAATAGATTTAAAATTTAATAATCTTAACAATAAAATAAATAAACAATAAAATAAACAATAAACAATAAAATAAACAATAAACAATAAAATAAAAAATTACCCATTATGTATTGTTGTTTTTGTTGTTCTTGACGCATTTGCATTTCTCTCTCTTGTTCTTGAATCTTTCGTAAAGCTAACTGACGTTGATATTGTAAATACTCTTGTTTTTTCTTTCGCATAATTGCTAGTTTTTGTGCCATTAGCATTTGTCGTTGCCTTTCAGCTTCTTCTGCTTTTCTGCGTAACTTCTCTTTATGTTCTTCCCGAAGTGCATCTAAAGCAGCTCTAGCATCCTTCATTTGAGTTAATTTATCTTGTAAACCTTCGTAATACACTCTACTATCATCTTGTTCTTGAATATATCTTAATAATCTATAAGAAGTATTGTTTTGTGATTAATATAAAAAATATAATATATCAATAAAATTAATGATTAAACATACCTAGAATGCATAGCTGTTATATTCATAAACAAAGTTTGAACAGAACTATCATTGGCAATCGATCTACCTCTTGAAGAATTACTTTTCATCCTGTTTACAAAAATTTCGACTTGAGATCTCAGACCACTTACAAATTCTTCCATTTGAGTATCAATTTCGCCATTTTCTTGTTTTACTAGTATAAGTTTTTGAGGCATTGGACTGCTTATATTAGGCGCAGATGGACTAGTCACATCTACTCTTGATCCATGCTCTTCGTTTACAGTTTGTCTTTGTTCCCAATATTTGCGATTTAAATATTTAGCAAGTTCAGGCTCAATTTCATCATCATCTTGTACCCGTGATGGACTAGGATCCTAAAGAGAAAAATTAGATTACAATTAGTATTCATAGTCAATTTTTATATTTAAGAAAGTCTTAAGATAACATTTCAACTAATAAGATGACTATATAAACTTATTTAAGACGATCTTAAATATAACGACAGAAACTATAGATATTGACCTAAGATTTTACATACAAGATAAAACAAAAACTTTGCCAAGAGTATTAAGATAATAATATTATATATATATAATTATAATATATATATATAATTTGATATTTTATTATATAATAAGATAGCTTTTCAGTAGATAATAAGTTATGTAATAGGGTGAAAACTTCAAAAAGATTTACAGGTGATGGTGGGGGAGAATACGTTGTTCTAGATATAGGAGTTGGATTGGATTTTAAAACACTTGTAGCACGTTTCTTTTCTTTTTCTTTCTGTTCAGCTTCACTCTGACTTAAAGCTATCGCTAGATTTAATTCTTCCTCTTCTCGCAATTCTTCTTCTGTTTTTCGAGCTGGAACCTATAAAAGTATGAAGTATACATAAATTATAAGTATGTGTATGTATGTAAAATTAATTATATAACAATTATTATTTCAAAGAATTACATTAGATTCTAAAATAGATTATTTTCGAAAAAAATTTCTTCTTTTTGTATCTATTAAATTTAATATTTATAATAATAATTACATCAATAAATCATACATATAAAATTTTATTCATACAATAATGCAATTTTTTGAAATTATATTACGTTATTTTTAATTATCTCTTTGTAATTATTTTAAATACAAAAATATCTGTGCAAGGTACTGCAGAAAATTAAATTATTAAAAAATTTCATTATATAAATTTATACTTTTATGAAGTTAAAAATACAGATATGTCATTTAATCCTATATTCTTATCTTATATCTCATCTTGATCATCTTGACTCTTCATCGGTAGAGTAAGATGATCAAATATCATATAGATCTCTTAAGAATTGTTAATTAATTCTTAATTTTTTATTGTATTTTGGTAAGATGATAGAGTTTGAGATATCTTTTTTCTTCTCTTAAAAAAACTTAAAGTTCGTAAAATTATAGATTTGTTTTCTGTTCTTGCATTGGGCTGCACTAAACTTTCTAGTTCATTTCTGTCAAACTTCAAATATATATTTATTTCATTTTAAATATTAAATATTAAGTACTAAATATATACTAATTTAGCTACAAAAACAGTTTGAATGTGAATATAAGAATACCAGTTGTTTGTTTACAAACAAGAACAATTTAACAATTGGTTTATTCAAATATTGGCTTATAAAATGAATAATATATTTTTATTATATATACTTATTATATATTCAAAATGTAAATACATACTTGTTGCTGTTGAGCCAAAGTGCTTTTGAGATATTCAGCTGGGAGATCTGTATCTTTGGTCTGCGTTGTAGATGGTCTGAAAAATTGTAACGTTTAAGAAATATTCGAATAATATAAAGTGTGATAAATGAAATAGAAATTTCACTAACTTGTTAACTTGTTCATAACAAGCCTCGCAAACCCGCACTTCTTTTTCAATTCCGAATTTTGGTAGAGTAGAAACCTTGCTTGAACATTGACTACAAAAGACTTGACCACATGCTCTACAATGATGTTTTCGTTGGACCATGCTAAAAGTTACGCGACAACGATGGCATACTTCACCATCTGCCCATGCAGGTGCAGTATCCGCTCTGAACATAGCATCACTTTCTTTTAAAACAGGAAATTGATAACCTTCAGCTTTCATTATATTTAATGTATCCTAAAAAACAAATAAGAACATTTAAGGCTTGGTTCTCTTGCCACAGTTATATCGGTTTTATGATATTATAAGCACAAAATGCAGTAATTTCCTTGTAACATAGTTTTATTTTTCAGTTTTGTAGTAAAATGCATATATTTTCATAATCTTTGAAGATGCAAAAATATACCAGAAAGTGAATTATAATAATATTGTATAAAAATTGATAAATTGTGAAAACTCAGCTATTAGAAATTATCATGTAAGAGCTAAGAAAAGTATTATTATTTCATGAATTATTTTATACTTCTAGATGACATATTGGAAAGATATCTTAATTTCTGATATATTTTACAAATTTTAAGAATATGAAAATATTATTTATATTAAAAAAAACTAAAAATTAAAGTTATATGTTGCAAGGAAATTACTGTATGTCATTTCTCACTTATGGTATCATAAAATTAACTTGATTGTTCAAGAAAGTTAACCTTTAAAAAGATAAGGCAAAGTTATATATAAAAAGTAAAATTATAGCATGTCATAATTTATTACCTGAACTGTCCTATATTTAGGACTATGTCGAAATGCATGAGCCCAAGCTTGTATTAGCTCTAAAGTTTTTAGTCTAACATTTTCATGTGGAGAGGTTTTAACTAATTCTTTTAATTGTTCCATGTATTGTTTGGTAGCAATTTCATCATGAATCAATGTCCCACAATTTTTTACACAAGATTCCAGTACCTAAGTGAACATTAATAAATAATAATGAAAATAATAAACATAATTTTTTTTTAAATTTATATCTTACCAGTAGAGCATATAATGCTACATGTGGATTACTGTTTATCATCTTTTTCTTTATAGCAGTAAGAGCAACTTTTGGCCTAAATATGTAAAACATTTAAAAATAAATAGTGATAAAAATATAAATTTTTTTTTAAAATAAAATCTAACCTAATCTCTCTCTCTCTCTATGCATATATATACATATATATACATCATACATACATGTATACATACATATATATACTTATATGTATATATATGTGTATATATATATATATATATATAAAATACATAACAATATATCATTGTGTTCTAATTGTTCAGTAAAAGATATAAACTAATACTAAATATAAGATACTTAAAAATTACGCTTACTGAACATCGCTTTGACGTATAAGATCGCAAATTTGCATAATTGTAGGCCAGTCTGGTTCTAACTGCAAATGGCTCGTCGCCTTATCTATAAGCGATTAATATAATAATAATTTAGAATTCCTGATATTTTGAATAAATTTCAAAGCTTACCCAATAATTTGTCAAAATTAGTCGAACTGCGAAACATCTTGTTATGCTAACAAAATTCGCGCTTTTATCTTTTTGAAGCTTCTATCACGTATATATTGCACAATAATATGCAGCAGTTGACTTGCGACAGTTGCAATGCTTAACAATCCTTCAGTTTGCTCCCATTGCTCTTGGACTACGTTTAGAAATGGTTGCACAACGATTGAGTAATTCGTTAATGTAATTGGTCTAAATCTAGGGATCTAACAGTAAAAACCAATAATCTGCACTCACTTTGGCTGCGTTTCGATGTTCACTGCCAGTACTGAAAATATATAGTTCATGTCACGTATATTATAGATTTTCAGTAGCTGGCAGTGAATATTGGAACGCAGCCTTTGTGTTTAGTGGAATAAAACAATTAGTAAGTAATCAATAATTGGTCTTTATCGTTAAATCTTTAAATTTAAATCAATTACGCTGAAGAATTAGTTTTAGTCCACAATAGATATTTAATCTTTAAGCCGTAAGAAATTGACCAATCATAATCGATTATTCTTTTCATATTCGATTATGATTGATATAATTTCTTACTTCTCAAAGCTGAAATCACTTATTTTGGACCGACATTAATAGAAACTCTGATCAACTTTTTTTTTTGAGCTTACATAAACTTTTTGCAAAGCACTGTCTGGCCTTATTACATTGATTATTTGTTTTTTATTTATATATTAAATAGAAATAAATTTTTTATTTTAACTTTTAAAAATACTTTAACATAAAAGGATAAAAATGAAAAATATATGATATTGATTCTTTTTTTACACCATTTATTAATACAAACTTTACATAGAGATCAATTATAAACATGTTAATATCGCAGAGTTAAGAGAACAAGTAATTATTACTAACTTATTTATATTTTATCATAATGAATGCAATAAAAATGCCGTAAAAAAAATATTGATTTTTTTAGAAGATCGATTTGTTAAAATATAGCATATACAAAGCATGAATGTGTGCGTGCGCGCATATATACATAATGTATATGCAATATTGTATGCAACATTTGAAAATATAGAATTTACACAATTTGTTTGAGTGAAACAATAATTATTACTTTGTTGAATATCACACGCAATAACTATTTTAAATATGTGGCGGCAGCGGCCATTTTCTCGCATACACCGGAAATCCTATCGGACGCAAGGCACGCTATCTCGATAATGACATGTTAGCAATCTAGTTTAGTATAGACATCTGTGGGGCTGTACCAATGAAAGAATATTGAATAAAATTCTATATTTTTAAATATTAAGTCCTTGTAAATATTTCTTATATGATGTGAAATTTAGTGATTTAATATGAAAATTAATATATCAAGATAATATAATCATAATATTGCATGTAAGTCCCACAACCATTTCTTGTATCAAATACAACTGAGAAAAAATATTGAACAAGTTAATTTTACAAAAATTGGAAATTGTTTATTGTTAAATATACGTTATCTTTTACACATATTTTTTTCTTCTGTTTTATTTAATAATAAGAAAATGTCGATAAAAATAAATAATTTCCAATTTTAATAAAAATTTATTTTTGTACTGCATGTAGTAAAATACTTCATCAATAATAATTAACAAATTCATAATCATATTTATTGCTAATTAATAATTTTATAATGGCAGTTGACAATAATTAATACAAGATGACTGCTGAAGATCTTTTATTAAAATTTATATCAAGATCTTTCGTAGTCATGTTGTTAACTGTGTTTTATAAAATACTATAAAATATAAGATAATATTGCAATAGTACGAATAACTTTCTGCATTAGAATAAACAAAAAGTATATTAAAAAATAATATTTTAGAAACATTATTAATAATTAAAAAAGAATGCATGAATATTATGGATATTGTGTTAATGGTCATTTATGAATATATATATCTAATTAACACATCTATTTTTAGTAGTCCAATGTCATTTATATTAACCTTAATTTTAATAATTTTTAAATTATTTTATATCATTATTAAATAATAATTAACTTTAGAATATATATTGTTTATAGACATTTATGACAAATTTGTAGTTCATATTTAAAAGTTTAAACAATATTATTACACAATTAAAAGAAGCGTAACATTCTAGCAGAAAGATTAAAATCTTCGATTGGTACTTGCCATCGATCATTCCAATCAATTTTATTTTTGTACAAATGCGGACACATTGGAAGGCGTGTTACACGTTCACATCTTCTAGAGACCGACCAATAAACAAAATTATCCGGACATTTATAGAGATATCCTTCTAGGTTATTCCTGCTATTGCGTTTACATTTGTAAAAAGTATTACTACAACCTTGTTGATAAGGAAAATGTCCTTCTTCTGGACAAAGCCGGTTTGATGATACTTTTATCTAAAAATCAAAGAAATATTTTATAATAAATATTTTTGTTATTAAATTAAGTTTATTAATTTACAAAAATACCTACAGATGATAAAGCATTGTTTTCCAATTTTCTGTAAAACCTAGCACTTGTTCTGGTACCTGTGCATGGCTGACTATTTTCGTTTTCAGGTAGACATTGAATTTTTTTCTCATCAAATATCGTATTTTCGGGACAATTTAATATAAGTATCTTGATTTCCATGTTGTTTTCAGAAGTACATTGATAAAATAGATTACAATATTTTGGGTGTCTTCGAAAACCAGTCGGACAAATTAAAGTTATTTGATCATCGGTTAAATTGCCTATAGAACAAGGCGCTGTCACTACTGATTCCATTGTTGTTGATAATTCAGTTGTTTGTTCCTGAGATACTATTGTCGACTGTTCTTGTAATTCGGTTGTTAATTGTTCGTGAGCTTCTGTGCTGGATGGTTCTTTTGACTCTGTTGATTGTTCTTGAGATTCTAATGTAGACTGTTCTTGAGACTCTGTCGTAGACATTTCAAACTCTGTGGATGTAATCTCAGTTGTCATTTTGCTACTACTTTGTTCAGAAATGCTAGAATCGGTAACGACTTCAGTGCTACCAATATTTGATTCAGTTGTAGACTTTGTCATATTTTCCATATTTTCTGGCATATTTGATGTTAATTCTGCACTAGAAGTAGTACTTTCTTCTGAGATAATTTCCATAGTTGAAGTTACACCAAATTCTGTAGATGTGATTGTACTTTCTTCTGTTTGCTCAGTTATGCTCTGAATTGTAGTAGATACTTTTATGGATGTGGCTTGCTCCGGTAATTCCGGAGATTGAGTTGTAGATTCCATGGAAACATTACTTGAAGTGGTATCTTCAATTGTGCAATTGTTGTCTCTCGTGGGATAAACAGATTCAGGATAATTACATACGTTAATGCTAGGATCAAAAATAGTACCCGATGGGCAATCAAAGTGATATACGTTGAAACTATTGCCGTTATTAACGCAGCGATAGAATTTATTGCATTTACTTGGATGTGGATAAAATCCTTCATTGTTGCACACTATTGTGTTGATTTTTGGTTTTTGTGTCGTACAATTGGATACGTATGATTCAGTAGATAAAGATTCTTTATTTGATTCAGAAGTAGACAAGGATGAAGATGGACTTTTTGTACTGGAGCTTTCGAATACTTGCATCCCTTCTGGTTTTTCTGAAGTAGGTTTTATACTAGTACTAATGGATGTATCAACGGTTGTTGTTGAAAGCTCCATTTTATTTATTTCCAATGTAGTTGATTCTGTGGATACTTTATTTGGAATAGTAGAAATTGTACTTTCAGTAAAAATTACAGATGACGAAGTAGTCGGAATGGTTTGATTGGAAACAATAGTTGTAAAAGTACTCATGACAGGAACTATAGAAGTACTGGAACTAAAATTTTGATCGATTTCATTACTGTTTGTTGAACATGAAACGACTTGTTGAATATGATTACATGTTTGTAGAGATTGATCCCATGCTGTGCCAGGACTACATTCGAATTCATATTTTTGATATCCGGACTGATCTCGCACGCAGCGATAGAATTTTTTACAATTATCAGGATTTGGAAAGAAGCCTTCTTTAATACATTTTAATTTTCCATTTTGAGATGAAGGTGGCAAATATGAAATAGATTCAGTTGTAACAGATGCTGTACTGGTAGTAACGGTCGAAGATGGCAAATAAGATGTAGAAGTATTAATCATTTGTGTTGCAGTAGAAATATAAGAAATGGATCCAGTAACTTGTGTTGTCGAAGGCAAATATGTACTACTAATGGGTGGCAAGTAAGAAACTGATATCATCTGAGATGCAGTAGGACTATTTGTAATGTTAATAGCTTGAGTCGAAGATTCTGGCTTCATAGATATTGTTGAATAAGTAGAGCTTCCAGAAGATGGTAATTTATTTATGTCTGGTTTATTGGTACCATCTATTTCATTTAATGATATATCAGGTTCATTTGTAGCTATACCGTTCGACTGATTGCAATGTGGTACAGCAAAAGCATGATTACAACTCTGAATGGACGAATCCCAGACAGTTCCATCACCACATTGAAATTCATATTTTATAAAGGATATGTCATTGTTAACACATCGATAAAATTTGCGGCAATCTTTTGTGTCTCCAAAAAAGCCTTCCGATGTACAAAGCCCTAAAACAAAATTTTATATATATTTCACTGACAATGAAATTCACACACACACACACACACACACACACACAACAAAATTATTTTTTTATAGCAGTTAATGGTTAATTACCAGGAGAGAGTGGACTACTCGGAGAACTTGATACTTCTGGATATCCCGGAGAGCCTAAATTATTTGGAGAAGACAGAGAGCCCGCAGATTCTGGATATCCTAATGAATTTGGACTATCCGAAGAACCTGTTGCTCCAGGGTATCCAGAAGCTAGACTAGTCGACGAAATAGGATTGTCCGAAATTCCTGAAGGGCTTGCAGAATCTATTGTTCCTGGATATCCTGGAGAGCCTGATACCAGAGAATCTGATGTGGCCGGAGGATCCAATGTTCCTGGATATTTTGGAAAATCTGGACTATCTGTCGAAACTGGAATACTTGGAAATCCTGATGTTTCTGGATATCCTGAAGAACTTAAATTAGGCGAAATTGGAGATGGATATTCCGGTATTTCTGGATATTCTGAAAAACTTGGATTATCCGAAGGAACTGATGTGCTTGGAGGACTTAATGTTCCTGGATACTCTGGAAAACTTGAACTATTTGAATCTGGTGTCTCTGGATATCCTGGAGAACCTGGATATCCTGAAGAACCTGGATATCCTGAAGAACTTGGATATCCTGAAGAACTTGGATATCCTGGAGAACCTGGGTTCAGAGAATCTAATTGATTTGAATCTTCAGGTTTCCCTGGTTGACTAGATTGATTCGAAATATCATTCCCTTGTCCACTATTATCTCCAGTATTATCTCCGCTCCATTGTCCGTTATTGTTAATATCGCTTCCACTTTCTAAATTGTACTTGCAGTTCTTTTTTGAAATAGCCCAAGCGTGATTGCACCCTTGACTCTTTGGATCCCAAAAAGTTCCTGTACCACATATAAAATCATACTTTTTAAATTTTCCGTAATTATCATCTACGCATCTGTAGAATTTTCTACAATCGCATATATCACCAAAAAATCCTTCTTGTGTACATTGGTATTCATTTTGACAATTAATAACATTATTTTCTGATTGATCAGTGTTTGGTTGATTTATTAACGATGATTGTGTTGTGCTCGGTTTTCTGGTTGTTGTAATAGCTTCAGTCATAATTGTAGATAATTTAGTAGTTATTGAAGATTGTAGAATGGTTGATTGTGGTCGAATAGTTGTTCTTACTGTAGTTGTCCATGAGGGAATATTTTGCACATTAGAATCAATTTCATTTTCGGAATCGTCACATTCAGACCGACCACTATCATTTGGATGTGTACAAATATTTCCGTTATCTTTTGAGAAGACAGTGCCTACTCCACATTCGAATTTAAAGGTTGTTAGCGGGCTCTTGTTACCCCAATCTACGCATCTGTAGTAAACTCTACAATCATATGGATCAGGATAATAACCTTCTTCTATGCATTTAAAAGGTATTTTGCTCTGTTGATATTGATCTTGATACATATAATCTGCAATTCAATATGATTAATAAATAATCAAATTTAATTCTTTTTTAATTATTAAATAATATCATACAATATAATAAACATGTGTGTCCCTGCTTAAAAAAATCATAAAAAATTATAAAAATAGACTCAAACTTTATTGAAATATTATCTAATTTTATAATAAGTTATTAATCGGAACTATATTTCGAAACTATAAAAAAATTATTTATTTCTATCATTTTTAACTATGTCTTATTTAAATGATTAAATACTTATTTAATACATTATTTATTTATAAATATATACAGGAAATTCTCTTTTCAATGATTAAGTACTCCCATTTTCTTTGTTTTTAATTATAAAGAAAAATGTCTCCACCAAAAATTGTACAGTTTGAATACAAAAAATAATAGTAAAATCAATTTCCAAAAAAAAATCGATTTTTTAAGATCATGAAGTTATTATTAATTTCTTAAATGGAATGCCTTATTTTTGATAGTAGTTTATAACTGTATCGAGATTTTTCCAAAATGGTAAAATTAAGTCTTCTTCTGTTACGAACTTCTTGATTTATGAATATTTAAAATTATGACAACGTTGACATTGTTCAAAGTATATCAAGTGATGATAAAGACTGCGAGGTGTAACTCACATTTCTATTTATCTTTTTGTGTGTAAATATATGTATGTAGAATAAGTACGTCACATACTTTAGATTCCTGAGTAGTCGCCGCGTATTAGAATCGTGATGTCATAGATCAGAAATGACAGTAAAATTTATTGCACCTAATTTGCAAATAAAGAAATATTTGACTAAAACGACATTTAAGATGGCTTTAAGACACTTGTGAAAATGGATAGCTGCTTTTCAGTGGTCAATAAATAGCTGTAAAAGGCACATGAAATGAAGCCTGTTCAGGCAGAAAACGCACGATTTGATAATGAAAGTACGAAACAAATCACATCTACATGATTAAGCACATAATAACAAAATTAGGTGTAATAAAAGAATTTCGTTTTCAGTACGTCACTTAATATAAAGACGAATAAAGGTAAGATGACCGAAGATGAATAACTTTTTTTATCATAGTCTTTATACGAAAAAGCTAAATAAAATTGAATTCTACAATATTAATTATGTATTATTAAAATATATAAAATATATCGTTTTTTTTATTAATTTTTTGTACATATGTAATCAATCATTTTTTTCGGAAAGAACTTATATTTTTCAAAATCAATTTTCGCAAATTTAATTTGTTTCTTAAATTGTAAAAATATAGAGAACGTAAACGTTTTATAATAATATTTATTAAAAAAATTTAAGTTAAAGAGTTTAATGTTAAAAAATTAAGTAATTCTCACCAGCTTTCATCAATTTTGTTACAATCAGTGTGATTAAAATGTTCACATTCAATTGGATTTTCCACATCTTTTGTATTCAATTTTATCTAAAATAATGAAACATTATAGTTATTAGTAATGATACAATCTTAAAAAACAATTGTAGTTCTGATTTTGGAATAGAAGCATTTTAGGTTTTTAGACGCTAAAGATATATCTAATTTTTAAATTTTTATTAAATCATTGTAAAAATCAAAAAATAAAAGGTTACAAAGTTTATAAAATAACATATTCCAAAAACATGATTGTATTATGTCCAAAAGATCTAAAGATATTTTTGTCTATTTTTGGATTCCAGAGTTGAGGCAAGGAAGGATATTGCAGGTATTCATTTTATTGGTTATTACACACGTATTGAGAAATCTGTGATCAATCGTATTTTATCGAGTTAAGGTTCAATAGTGAAAAGGCTATAACAATTTTACAAAGCTAATTTTGATCACTTTTCTATGGATTTAAATAAATATAATTGATACCATTATATGCAGCGACTCAAAACTATAAGATCACCTGTATAATTTGTTACTTTTCTAGATCAAAATCGATTTATTTTCCTTTATCTTTTTTATTTGGGAATGGAACTTATACTATATAATTTTTTTCTTGAGAGAAATTACTTTTTGTAACATGAATAATTATAATTATATTATTATGCATTTTGTATATAACTATCATTTGTACAATATATATCTTATCTATCTGTATATATATATATTG